GGTTGAGTAACTGTGGTCGTCAGTGCAACAAGTGACATTTTGCACCCTCGCCAATGCGCAGTATGTATGAGGGCACATTCACCAGGGTCCAGGAACACAGGTGTGCCCCATCTCATTCTTGCACAGAGCAAAGGATGGGGTTGGAAGATGTGGTTGTCTGCCTTTGCTGCTGAAGGCGCAAAAGATGTCGATTCCCCTAGTTAGCAAGAGCAATGAAATGGGCATCGATACTTACGCGCATCCTGTGTTCCAGAGGTGATCGTCTGGTTGAATGAATCCTTGACCTCTAGCACAAAGTTGGGCAAAGGGTCAGTGCTGTTGTGGTTCAGCTTGCCCGTGTCTAGTAGCTGAACGACCCTGTTGTCGATTGTCACATTCGTCAACAAGGGTGCCTTCAGAACAAGGTGACTGGCAAAGGAGGCTGAATCTGCTCCAAAGCCCCCCTGATTCACTGAGTTGTTGAAGAAGGCCACAGGCCCATCGCCAGGGCTGGTCACGTCGTTGCGCTGGAAGAAATCTACCAGTGTTTGGTTTTCTTCGTCGACAAAGACATTGCGGGGGTCGGAGGCGAACAAGCCCCCTGCAGTGGAGAGCGCCCCATCCTGTGTGAAGGTGACATTTTCCAGCAGGAAGGCCCGGCATGCTGCTGCTTGGGACTCGCATTTGGCAGCCCATTCAGGGCCATCCACGATCGCCATCAAGCCACCTGGGCAAAGCACATTTGCTCTGTGAACCCTGCCCTGCTTCGATCTCATGGGCAACAGCCTCACAAACGTTTTTGCCTGGAAAGCAACCTTCCCATCCAGCCTATTATGTGGCTGCTTCTGAGTTAGGCAAGTGTTGTTGCTCAAATGCATCGCAACACCACACCACAGTGCCACCTTGCAATAGCCGTTCATCAGCTGTGCCCAAATGTGCAAGGGGATGGTGGCCAACGTCCATCACGCACTGCAATGTCCAAAAACTGATGAACAGTACCCACAAGGCGAGTCGCTCGATCGCTACAGCACGGAAAGTGTCTACAATCCCTGTCACTGGATTCTTCGCTTTCTCATGAACTGCTGCCAAGGCACAACAGCTCAGACAAGCACTCCACCATCTCAAACACCGGCCAATACTTTGTGGGACATCATATACAGACTAGCGTTTCGCAGCAGGTAAACAGAGAATGTTCAACTGGCCCAAGGCAATGACCAGGCTGGTGGCCACACACATATGGTGAGCAACGGTTTGCAGGAACTACACCTGCACAATCTGCAGCCAACTTGTACACAATCCAAATGCAATACAATACAATACAAGGCCTGGGGGCTCCCTGCAGTCTGCAAAAACTACTCCCATGGTGCCTGTGCAAATAAATGGGATGCAGTGGTTGCTAGCTTCCCATTGCACTCGCAACTTGTTTTCTGATCCTGCGTTCCATTTCTAAGAGCCTCCAAACCTTTCCTGGGGAAAGAGGAACTGTCCATTGCACATCCTGGCTGTGCTACAATTTTGGATGTGTACTGGACAGCAGCAAATGGCAAACTACAACACAACAAGTTTCAAGAAATAACTGTATCTTCAGGATTCAATGGTGGCATAACCAACTGCAGGAATACATTGTTGGCAATGTGAAGCAAAAGGCCTATCAGGGACAATGCGCACCTCCCAGCTTGCCAAAATTCTTCTCAAATTGAACATCCTGCAGCCTGGCACTGACACCGCTCTGCGTGGTGCCCTGACCGAGCTCCAGCAGTGCACCGCCTCCTCCCCCACGATTCGGCATATCAGTGCCCCCTGAGGCGCCATTCTCGATGGTGATGTCAACCAATGATATCTTCCCCTGGCTCTGCAGCACCTTCAGCTTGGCCGTTCGATTCGCAATCACCCCCTGAAGCGCCTCGTAGTTATCTGCACCTGCAACCGACTGATAATAATCGACCTGGGCCCTTCGCACCAGTTTGGGATTCTTGAGGTCTGGCACTGCCGCATTTCCAATGAAACTTATGCCGTTCAAGGCGATGTCATTCTTTGTCCGGCTCTGTGCACGGATCATGAGGCCACCACCGTACATGGCCACATTGGTGTTGACACTGCCTGGGCATAAGCTGCTAGGCCGGATGCTGAACTTTCCGATGCTGTCGACAAAAATGCCACCGCCCCTGTCAAGTCAGTGATGCAAGCACATACACACATGAGAACGCCCAAAGTCTCAAACCATTCTCTTAGGTCCTTGAAACAGGCCAATCCACTTTGAACATCTTGACAAAAAAGTGCAGAAGCACCACCCTTGCAAGTTCCTTGACTGGTATAGTTGCACCCACAGCTCTTGTTCTGGGCTGTCAGGTCACTTTCCGCCACCCAGAGAATTCAGGAAATTGAAGATCAAGTTCCCAACATGATAAATGAGGAGTTGAGCAGCATGCGCCTACTGTCTCGATGAATCCAGCAAGCCAGATCATCACCTCGTAGCACTGTTGTTCAGCACAATTGGATTTTCAATGGTCATCTGTGTGGTGATTGTCCCCTCCACGAGTGCTACTGCCCCACCAGATTCGAGTGCATGGTTGTTGGCAAACGCAACGTCCGACACCTCCATGACACCTGCGCGAGGGGGGAAAAGGGGCCTAAGAACGTCATGAGTTGAGCACCCAGCTCTGCAATGCTTACCCATGTATCTGAGAACATGGATCCTGCTTCTCTGCAAAAGCATGCTGTTTGCAGCACATGCTGGCTCGTACCAGGCTTGCGGAGCAAGTTGATCCAAGGGCACATGTAACCTGCACACCAGTCTGTAGACAGAACAAACACAGCCACAGTTTTCTCGTGGCTTTGGTACCGAGCAAATGAACTGATGCTGTACTCACCAGCTCCGCGAGCAGCGATGGCACCTCCAGTGACTGCCACGTTGCCTGTGAACCTCATGTCCTCACGGCTGCACAATCCAGTAAGACGCAACGTCGCTCCATTTGCAAGCATGACTCCCCCTCCAAAGCCACCAATGTTGTTCTGGAAAATCGTGCTGCTGAATTCGCTTATGGCATTTCGCAACAAAATGGCCCCACCCCCAAACCTCGCCCTGTTTCCCTCGAACAGGACCATCTCGGCCTTCATTTTGGCTTCCGCATGCCCAACGAAATGGATGGCGCCCCCATACCCAGCAGAGTTGTTGGTAAAATTGCTCCCCTCAAGGCTGAAGGAAGAGTCAGCCGCCCTCAACTGTACGTACAGAGCACCACCTTGTGCGTTCCTGCTGAGCCCAGTGTCGACACTGTCGGTTGCCCGAGCCTTGTTGTCAAAAAAGTCACAGCCAATCACTTCCAGACTGTCAGCATCCCAGACTGAAATGGCACCTCCTGCTGGGGTGGCCCTGTTCCTCCCAAATCTAGACCCAGTCACTGTGGCACTGCTGATACCCTCAATGCTCAGGGCGCCTCCTGTCACCGTGGGTGGGAAGAATCTTATGAACTGCGTGGCCTCCAGTGGGGAGCCATTTGTGAGGGCCTTTAAAGGGTCGCCGCTGTCGCCATCCAGATCACTGTTGTCAGTAAAATTGCATCCCTCCACAATCAGGAAGTTCTCAAACGTTCTGGAGCCCTTTATCACAATTGCAGCGCCACTACCAACGCCCTCGCTGCTGTCCAGCTTGTTTCCAACGAAAGACGAGTTGACAATCGTCAAGTTTGACCCGAAGACAGACATCGCTGCCCCAGATGTACCAGTGTTGTTTGTGAAACTGCAGCCTTCCACAACTATGTTGAAACCACCCAGGATGCCTATGGCGCCCCCGGAGAGTATATCACTTCCTACGCGCTTGTCCTTGTTGGAGAGTACGGTATCCTCAAAGGCCACCCTCCTAAATATGGCTGACAACGCTGTGCCTGGTTCAGCATCCTCACTTGGTTGGAGTGTCACCGCCGGATTACCACACTGCTTGATCACAAGATCCTCCATAGTAATGTTTGCCCTGCAGCCACACCATGGCCCCACAGACAGTTTCAGGTGGACAATGTCAGTCCCACTCGAGGCGGGAAAAGCGGGGAGGATGAAGATCATCAATGTGCCTGTTGAGGGTGTGAAGGCACCAGAAAAAACTGCTCCACAGTTGTCAGGGTTTTCGATTCCCTGCAAACTCTTGCCATGTTCACCAAAACATGAAAATGTATGTATCAAAATCAACATTTGCCTCAGCCATGCATGCCCCCCCATGTGCACCAAACACGAAACAACACAAACATCCTTGCCACAAGCACCTGGCAGTTAGACCTCGGCGGGCAGAGATAAACCATTTCCAAGAGGGAGAAAGATTAGGACCCTCGCAAGAGCAAAGCGGTTGGGCCCATTGCACTTCTGGACACAGCAAGCGGCCCAGTTGGCGCCCATCCAGCCACAGGACACTTACGTCACTTCAAAAGCAGTCTCAAATTTGCCCTTCTTGCCCTTCGGGCTGCAGTTTATGACAGGCCTCGCGCCCGGCGACGCCCCCCTGATGGTCAAGTTTGCGGCAATCTGCAGCGGGCCCTCCAGCGTGAGGCTCTCCACGTCCAGCACGACGACGGAGCCATCCCCGAGTCCCGCGATCTCGTCAACAATCCCCGTGGCGTTGCCCTCCGTCAAAAGTATCGTGCTGGCGTTCTGCTGAAGCAGGCTCCTCCCTGGGCGGACAGGGTAGGCACCGGGTATCAAGGGCCAACAAATCACGCTTTAGCCGCCCCCCTCAGAACATGTTTCACTCGGGTTGTAACCAATGGCAACCCGCCAAAAAGCGCACCGTCCGACTGCCTTTGCCACTGAAGGGGGGGCGGGCCGGAAGTCTGTGAGCGCAGCGGGCGAGAGCACTGCGCAGATGATCCGGGCGCTTCCGGTCATCACATCTTCATGCCCCTTCTGGCCGGCAGACAGGCAATCCAACCCCGGAGTTTGCATTCTGGCCCACAGAGCTCGCCGAGGACACATGCGGGGTGGACGAAAGATTGCCTTCCCGTGAACCGCCACCAAAGCAGCACTGGGCGACCTTCCAGTGGAGCGTTGACTGAATGGCAGCAGAATTTGACTTCGCCATCGCGCTCAGACGCGAACCGCCGCTCCAAGACCGCCATGACGTTCCACGACTAGGGAGGCGCTAGTGCACGCGCAGGGACCCATACCGCAAGGAAATGAAGAGTCCAAAGTGCGCCTCGACGGCTGCGCGCGGCACTAGGATGCGAACGGCGGGCGGCACGGGCCCCCCTCGCTGCACAAGACTCGAAGAAACCCCGTCAAACCGCCCGAGTCCATCAAGCGCCCCTGCTCGCGATGATCGGATCAGCATCCACGGCAATCGAGGCGAAGCGCCCAAGCGAAAGCGACAGCGCCGGCGGGTTCGCCGTGCGCGCGGAGACGGGGCGGATCTTGCGCCCATGCGACGGCGGCCAGCAGCATGGCGCTGCGATTGACGCGCCCAGACCATCCGCCAGTCGGGCATGCGGCCGATGCACTCGCCACACGTCCCAGCGCCCAACTCCTGGCCACAGAAGAACAGCGACCTCCCCCGTGTGCCGGCGCCGCCGCCGATCGGCGCCCCCCCCTCGCCGCGGGCCATCCCGCCAACGTGCCCGGAATGTACTGGGGCCGGTTGTCAACGTCGTACGCGGCGCCCTGACGAGGATGCTTCAGACGAGCGGTCCAACCCACGAGGGCCGGCGGAAGCGCCCCATCTGCACCCAACGTACCTTGGACGGCGCCCGCCGCCGGGGGCATGAGGCAGAGCAGCGCGATCGCCGCCGCCAGCCCCCACCTCCCGGCCCCGGTCCCGAGGCGCGCCATGTCGCGCCTTGTAGCAATACTTTGAGCCGATCCGGCCGAATCTCGCGATCCCTGACGCGCCTTAGCTGGGACACGCCCGGCTGATTTCAGCTACGCGGCTCCGGGCCGGCGGTGGCGGCCGGCAGTTTGGGTGGGGCGCGCACTCGAGGCCGGCGGGCCCGGCGTCACCGCCAATCCAGGGCGGGCCGTAATTTGGGAAGGCGGCCGGGGGGAAATGACGTCCCCCGGGGCTGGAGCCAGTGGTCCCATCATCCACGGGTGGATCAGCGCAGGTGATGGGGATGCGATCAGCAGCTGCCCTGCGGCTTCGGAAACCTGTCTGACTCGTTGCTCTTTCCGTTACGGACATGAGAACACACTTTTTTACCCGGTTCTGAGACGCAAATCCAGTCTTCCAATCAACAGTACAAGGCCAGACAGCAAACCCGAACAGTTGTAGTTTTCGTTGTCCAATTTGTGGTTGGCCCTCGCCAAACTTGATAACGTACTGTTCGCCCGTGCCTGGGGTGCTTATTCAGCTTCTGTAGTCATTAAGCGCAGGACCAGAAAGCAAACCCAAGCTGCAGCAGTTTTGATTAGGCTGTTAGACTTCGAGGTGCACGAGATTGTTTGAAAGAATGGGGGACTGAGCAACAGACAAGGCGAGCAAATGGATGTCGCCGGCCATTGCGCGAATTGATGTTTGCAACATTTGCTGCACTGCAATGTGGCCCGAATCATGCCACTTCAGAGCGGCTTCCGTCTGCAGAATTTTTGCCCATCCGGATGCACGAACTGTAATTTTTAAAGTAGCTGTGAAAGTGTTCGTGACGAAAATGACCAGAATCCAAAATTTCCCCCCCAACCCCCACCCCACCACCGCCACAACGAGACAAAGATAATTCTTTGGGTCTTCCTGATGGCGTTCTGCTCACCAAGTCGTCTGACTACGAATTTGTGAAGAATAAGTCTCTCCGTGATAGCTATTGCAGAGCACCAACGGAACACAGAAGAAAAGCGCATATAGAGATTGCTGAACAGCGAAGGCTGCACAACCACTGGGATTTCAGCGATGTGGAGATATCACCAATGTGCATCAGTGCTGGCTCGGTTGAGTCACCGAGACAAGGCTGCCTACACGCAGCTGTGGGTGTACAGGTGCCCCCATGTGCCAAGCTCAAAACACAGAGTACTGGAATGTTATGGTTCGCAGTTCATGACTCGAGGCACACTTGGGCGCATTTGGTGGAAGCAAAGGGGAACAAAGGGGTTTTGAATCATGCGGAAACTTTCCATATTGCCAATGGTTTGAAATGGCGTGCAGTGTGGCTGTTTGCGTTAACAGAAAATATAATTTTCCCGTTCTATTGAATGCTTTGGTGAGGCCTCAACCTCAATGGGTGCAGACGTCCAAACCAACGAGGGGTCAGACCCGTCCACCGAATCAGTAGACGAGGGATTACGCTTGCACTATGTTAGTATTCGATTGAACAGACGTGCGCTCCATGCAGCATTGTCCTGTGCGGTTGGTCGACATTTCGGAACGGATGGAGTTTCAGCATCCGTCCCGAATTGAAGGGCTGTCTCTCATGTTTTGAACGCTATTATTCCCGATTGAGGTCTTGCGCCCAGGTGCAGCTCCACAGGCCTCGAACAGCGTGTACTAGGCGTCGGTGTCCTCTCATTTGAATGGCCCCAATTGCATGCCAAATTCCACTTCAATTTCCACATCAATGCGAATTTGGGCAGCCTGACAGGTTAAGCAACATGCGAAAGTACCGCCATGTGGCCTGGGCCCCATGGGCCCGCGCACATGGCAAGGCTGAATGTGCAACTGCTCAGAATTCCATCTGGTATTTGTATGTATATTACCAAAACTTCACTGGTGGAAAGCAAATTTGCTCCCACAATTTCAGTGCAAAGGCAGCTCACTGAGACACGTACATGTGTAAACGCGCAGCCGAAAACGCCCTTCACATATGGGTTTGGGATCGCAATTTCGGAGTGCTCTCAAGTTGGACTCCTACACCCACATGCAAAGAGATTTGGTAAAACGTGAATTTGGAGTTACGCTCGAATTACCTGTGCAGCACGAGGTTTTGTTAAAAATAAGCACTTGCAAATGCTTCGAATGATCAATAGAAATCGCATACCTACTTCCAATTGCCCTTAATATTGTTCAGATTGATTCTAAAGAGCATCGCGGCGTTACCGATCAATGCAGGAGTGCTGCAAAAAGTTCAGAAGGAATGAAATTCCACGGACCCCACCAGGTCTCATGCCACGCGATCCGGGGGCAATTGTGGGCACGGCGCCACGAATCGGATACGAGGCCAGCGTTTTTCCATTGTCTTGAAAGTTGCAAACAGGGTAAGCTGCCAGGATATGTAATGAATTCGAGATGCTCATTATTGCCGAAATTATCGCGTCTGCGTTTTAATGGCAACGCCAGCAAACCGGTAAATGCTGCAGTTTGGACTTAGAACAAATTGCTTGGCACCCCGCTCTTCCTGCAATTTTCAGCAAGTGCTGCAGGACGAACAAGCAAACATACAGCAGCTCACTAGCCGGATTCAGTTAACTTAAGGCGAACCGTCATTTCACAAACGGAATCACAAATTTCACAAATGGAATCTGAGCCCTTGTGCCTCGCGGGTGCCCCAAAGGCAGCTCACCGATCACGCAGCGCGTTCTGCTGAGCCCCGGCATCCACCCCCGTTGTTGACTTGCGGCAATTCCGCCGTGAATGCGTTTGCAGAAAACTCGAAAAAATTGTGCACTCAACTTTGCAAAATTCTGCACAGAGCTGTGTGAGCCGGATCGTTCTCCGGTACGCATTCGACCGTGTACCAGTCCCGTGGGCTTGGACCCAGAGAACTTCTTCGCTTTAGGGTCACTCGTGAACTCACGCAGTCATGCATGTGACACATTATCATGCAAACACGTAGCAGGAAAAAGGCGACGGCACATTAACCCGGATCCTCTCTCTTCGGAGTAGTTCTTCCCATCAACGAATCTAACAGTTGGCTCAAACCGCTAGAACCGCCAGTGGCTGGGGCCTTGTTGGCAGCTGTCCTGGCAACACCAAATCCCAGCTTTCCACACTGTCGGAAGTGCAGTTAAAGAGGCAGAGAAGGCTATTCAGGATTGCTGCAAAGGTGTTTGGAGAATCCGGGGCTTGATCGGAAGGCACGATCTTAAAGGCGTACTTGTTCACTTGTTCCAACTGCACCAATGGAAATGCTGTGACATCGACAGGATACCGGACTAGTTCTTGTTGAGGCTCGCCAAGATTAAGCATTGCAGACAGCCACATGCGCTAATAAGCTGGAAGGAAACGAGCTGAAGTGCACCGCGGTCTGGGCTGAGTTCGCGCATTGACCTCTTAATGAACGCACCAGGACGCCATTTAGTTCAAGCAGGCGATTGAAATAAATTGTAGATGTATCAACACAGACCCGCAAGCGCAACATTGGAGCGATGTTGAGTAGCTGATGGGCAGATCTGCAACGCTGCGTTGACCGGTGCGACGACCCCTGGAAAATATGCTGATGTGTGAGTTGACAGGTGGCGGTAAAGCATGCACACCACTACAAGCGGGGCGTTATCCATGAAAACGAATTTTTAAACTCAACAAAACCTGCGTTCACTTGTTCTGTACAGAATGAAATATTGAATGCATTCAATATTTGATTGATCTTGGATAAGCTGAGAGTACAGTAGGTGGCGCCATAGCTTTGGCGTGCACAGAAATTCCTTGCAGGCCAATACTTTGGACACTGGCCCAAGCTGAAAGCGGCATGGATTTCAGATGTAATAACGACAAAAACAACTCCGAAGGGAAACGACTGCACGGTAGCAAAAGTAGCAGTGAACCGCCTTGGTATTCTGTTGGTTGACAGCTGTTATGTTTATCGCAAAATGCACAAACATTTTCACTTTGGAGCCGTCAAGATCGTTTGTGCAAGCAAAAAGTTATTCAATATGTGCACTTAGGACAGCATCTGCTTCTTGTTGTTGATGCATTCACAAATGATAATAATTGCGAGCACAAAGGAACACATTCATTGGCGTCAACGCCCATGCAGCACATGCGGATGTTCGCTGAAGATTCTCCAGCATGTCTTTGGGGAGAGTTTTGAACAATAATAGTGGCGGGCACTGTCGCCTCCATCCAACAAGCTGTTTTGTCTGACGCATTAGCGCCTCAAGCACACGACCCGTTGCTTGACTTTCGCCACAGCAATCACACGCTCGTGTTCTGTTATTTAGAATAAAGAGCATGCCAGCGAAGTTCACTTAAATCAAAGATAAAATGTCACCAACATGCTGAATTTTCCATTCGGGAAATGTATGCTCCAGATGTTGCATTTGGAACCAGGTTAGACGTCGATGCAGCAACGTGCACTTGTCTGCTCTGTATTTGCTGCAATACCCAGCAACGCTGAAACGAATGCCCAAATGTCAAAATGGACAAGCGCAGCTGCGTGCGTTAACACTGCACTAACGCTGATATACAGTACCTAACGCAGAGTTACTCGGTGTTGCATCAGTGACTTTGCATCAATTTTGCACCTGATCCAAGATTCGAAATCTTCTAGATAGCCTGAGGTCAGTGACGCGTGTTCATCTCGCATGACATACTGCATTTTCGAGTCAGACCCCAAACCTATGGCTGTCTTGATCATGGAAAGTTCCGTATGTGCCGTTTCTAATCTCCAGAGTTGATGACAACATTTTAACCACACCAAAGCACAGTCCGATGCCGAATCAAAGAAATCAGAAACCTTTGGGAGGACCTTCATTGATTGCCACTGAGATGGACAGGGGTTAGTACCTGGAGTCTTCCGATCTAGCATGATGTCAAGGTGACGTAAAGTTTTGAAATCCAAACGAAAATTCACTGCCATGACAGTGTTCTTTTTCGTCAACTGAACTATTGCGCGCTCGCTGGACGTGCCCAATTTGAGCAGAAAAAATGCCGCCAGTGCTGCGCTTTCCGAAGACTAAGTGAGTTTATGCATGCGCCCAGATATTCATCATCCGCACTTGGGCAGGATCACGACCACCGAATTGAGATAGGGCAGTATAGTCTGCGCCCACGAGGCTTCTATTCGTCAGCAGATTCACATGGATCAGTGCGTTGATTGTGGTGGTGGTGTGCCTCCGAATGGGCTACGTGCGGACGCGTGTGGGCAAATACGACAATCCGCTGTGCGGGGCAATGCACTGACGCAGGCGTGGGCCGGCCTGTGGGCACTGGGGCGTCGAGTCGGCCGGTCGCGTTTGTGTTGGCAGATGGGAAACACGGCGTCGGGCCAGTTTCGCTGTTTGCGCGTTCCCAGAGGAGGCCACTGTTGGGCACTCCGGGCAATGCGAACACGCTAGCCCATGGTGGCCACGGAAAGGGATTTCGATGTTTGCCGCACCGTCCACCTGAACGGGCTTTGCGAGCTGGGGTTTCAGCAGGCGGAAGTCGCCATTGGGCGCAAGACAAAAGCCTTGCCGTCGCAGCGAAGGGGGCGGCAGCCAAGAGGAGTCGGAGGCCGCGGAGTCCAGAGCATAGCGGGCAGTTTGCAAGGTCTGGGACGCCGGAGCAACTGGAGGGACACCGCAAGGGTGTTCGCGATGAGAGAGCGTCACCGTTGCGGTCGACCAGATGGCGCACGATCTGCCGCGGAGTTTTGGCCTACGGGGCCCCTGCATGCCTGGCGCCCTTCTGCATTGACCACCGCCTTGGCCACGGTGATGCGGATGTCTCGAAGGGGTCAGTCCCAGAGACATCACTTCCGCGCTTTGGGCTCCAATTCAAAGTCATCGGCATGATCCCCTGCCGTGCCCCAGGCGCAAGCACTCCCGATACAGGCAGGCGGTCAGTTGGCGGGATCCTCCCCCCCAGCTCCAAATTCCCCACTTCCCAAGGAACCCGACATCGTCCGCGCCCGCCGAGGCCATTGCTCCCAACGAGCGCCCCAGCGTCTCCCCTTCCCCCCCCCCTTGTCCCTGACAAGCCATCCGGGGGCTTGAGCCCGCGGGCCCCGCGCGGCGCCGGCCGGGGGTCGGGTTCTAGCCAACAGTGGCAAGCGACGTCCAAATCGACATCCGCACTGGCCACGTCCGCCACAATGTTGTCAAAATTGCCCTACGGGCACCTCATTCGGGCGGCCCTTCCATCCACAGGCCGACCAGTGCGCCGCAAACTGTATAACCCCAAACACAGAGCTGACACGGGGGCCACGCGGGAGTGGCCGGCGGACAGCCACCGGTCGGCGTCCCCTTAGGCCGCGCCAGCCGGCTTCTTTCCACCCTGCTCCCGCAGAACGCCGGCGGGCGGCCATGGATCGAGCCGATGCGCCGGTGAGGCGGAAACGATTGCCCCGAGCCCGGCTCCGCGGCGGCGCGCGGGTTACAATCGGGATAGCCGGCAGCCGCTGCCGGAGGGCGCGGAGAAGCACGGGCCTGCGGCGGGAATGCCGTGCGGCATGACACGCTTGTGTGTTGTGTGCGGCGCAGGCGGGGCATGAGGGCAGGGATGTCGGCGACTCCACCGTGGGCGGGTAGGTGTCAGAAAGCTTGGCGGATCGGGGACAGCATCACTGAACTGGGGCGCCCCAGTCCAGGGACCGGGGGCGCGGGGGGGGCCGGGAGGCCATCGAGATCGCCTGCCTTCCACGCGCCCACCCGAATGGCCGTGCCGAGTTGAGCTGACACGTGTGTGATGGGCCGCGCAGGCCGGCGCGCCTTTCGGCGGAGCGCGGCGCGGGGGGCCGGCGGCCGAGGCCCGCGGGCGCCCAGCGGGGGCCCGCACGCCCTGGTGGCGAATTACAGGCAAGGGCGCCCCGTACATCACGCCTCGCCGCCGGCCGCTGTGCTCTGTGGTCCGCTGGCTGCGGATTTGAATGTAGCAAAAGATCTAACGGCCGGTCGGCGCTGGGCGGCGCTGCGTGTATTTTCAGGCAGGCAAGCGGGACGATGTGAGTCATGTGTTGGCGGGCGGCAGCCCGGCGGGTGAGTGGCGCGGGTTTGGGGTTTTGCAGCCGGAGCCCCTGCCTGGCACGCCTGCTCCCCCTGGGGCCCACGCCAGGGGCCCTGGGGGTTCGCGGTTCGAACGGACCCCTCCGAACGGATCGGTGGCCAAGCCCGGGACTGGGCACCGATCGCAGCAATTCTGACCGACACCCGGGGCCTTCCGCCGGAATGGGCTTGGGGATCGATGCTCCGTACATTCGGCGGCGCGCCCATACCCGCGTGCGTTGGGCGCCGTTGGGCGAGGCCCCAGCGGGCGTCGCCCGCCCGTGCCGCCGGCCGGCGGCAAGAGGCTCGTGCGGACGGCGAGCCAGCCCGGGTGACTGCGAGAGTCAGGAGGGGCCGCTCCCTGGCTGGGAAATCCCGCAGAGCCGGGCGCCGGAAAGGGGGCGCTGTGCCTGGAGCTGTAATCCGACGTCCGGCTGGTCTGACCGTCCTGTCACCTTCCCAGGAAGTTTCCCGCCGTGTGTTAGCCCCTCTGCGGTTTTTGGGGTGATTTTCAAACGGCTCTCGGACCCGGCTGTAGTAAGCACAGCCGCAGCAGTCATCGCCAATTGGCCTTGCGGGGTCGCCGCCCGTCGCTCAGGCCTCGCCGGACCCGGAAGTTCCGCGGCTGCGCGAGCGTGGGGCGGCGGCAGCTGGTCGCCGCCGGTAGGAGCTTTGCCAGTGCACCTTCCCTTGGCTCAGCGTCCCGGCGTGAGATCGAGATTCGGATTTCTGGGACCGCGCGAAGGCATCCCAAATATCGGCGGTGGAAGCAAGCACCCTCCACCGGGTCAGTGAAGCAATGCGCCCGTCTTGGCCGCAGCTGCTCGGGGCCCCGTGCGCCGAAGCAAGGCCAACTCTGTCGGGTGCCACCACGGATGAATACCACGGGAAATGGACTTTTCTCCCTCGGTGCACTGGGGTCGCCAGCCAGAACAACTCAACCGCGCGTCGGGCGGATATCTTTTCTCCTGTTTACTAGCGCGTCTGGAGCGCGCCCTGCGTTGCCGAAACTGCAACTCGACGGGGATTTGTAGGGGCGAGAGATAGCTCTCACGGGGCTGTCCATTGGGTGTTTGGCCCCCAAGCGCACTGTGGCTCGACCTGGGAGTGTTTCCCACTCGAGTGTCGGTGCCTTCAGGGGGCGCCAAAAGTGTGCGCACGACGACGGGGCTTGCGAAGAGTTGCGGCGCAGGGTATGCCATCGGCACACGCACCTCCCCGGCCCACATTAACAGCAGGGGCACGACCGCCGATGCTGGGGCGCTGCATCTAATTAACGTTATTCCCATTTGCTGAAAAGGCGATGAACGCTGGGGACGCGCATCAGTCAGCCCGCGCACGAGCGCCACAGATGCCCTTGGGGGAGCGCTTCGATCGCGCGCTGGCGGCAGCCTGAGGGCGGGCAAGGAGACAACATCAGGGGAGCGAGGCTGCGGGTGTCCGACGAGTGCAGAGTGAGTGTATCCGTGCGGAACAGCGCACACCAAGATGCTGTGTCACCCCCCCGAAAACACTCGCTGCGGCTGACACACGCATTGCGGTTGGTGCAACAATACATCATGCGTCGTTGGGGAAAGAGAGGCGAGAAAATGATAGATCGGGCACTGCCGCATCGGCACTTGGAATTGGTGTACTAATGTACGAATTCGAGCATTCACTTCCTGGGTGCTGGGTCCCCCTGAACCCCCGAATGAAACTCATTACAGGCGTAGCTTGATGGTGCAAGTGCAGTAGGCTTGCATGTTGATTCGCGCTGAGCAGATCAGGTGTCTCGCGGGGCGAAGTCGTGTTGTGGGCACCCACAATCGTGCTCACAGTTATCCAGTGTGACGCACGCGTTCATTCATGTGCGACAGCGACGCCCGGCTGCTGCGACAGCTCCTGGAGCTGATGATCGCAATTTATCAATGGACATCGACAAAATAGAATTAAGTTTCCTGGCCGCCGTTGGCCGGTGTATGTGGAATTTGGACAGATGCAATAAAACCGGCACTGAAAATGCTGCAAGTCGCTCGTCCCATGAAGTTTTTGGCGATCTTCAATTCAGAAACGGGTGGACGCAACACTGCCACGTGCCTTGCGCATTGGGGGAGGGCTGCAAAGGTGGCGATTTCCAGGACCAACTGCCAGGCAGTGAGCACCCAGGTGTGAAGTCACGGTTGCTATTCCTTGTTGTATTTATGCTGATTGATGAACTGATATGTATCCATTATGTGCTCAATACGATCTCTGAACATGCACCATACTGGGCTCTCATGCTGGCTAATTTGCGTACGGTGATGCTTTTCAAATTCATGATCTCCCCTTTCTCTGGTATTGAGAGTTGCTGCACTCAAAAAAAGTTGCCCCAAAGTTCAATTTGCCACATGCAAGATGTCTCGATGCATGGGAACACAATGCTTGGATGTCCGTCCCATTGTATCGCACAAGGCTTGCGAAGCGAGCAGTGCTGAAAACAGCGTTGCTCAGCTTTCGCTGGAATCAGAGAGTGTATTTCTCATGCACGCCGCGTAAGCGCCCTTTGCTCAACTTCAATTTCTTGACTGAATGATACAACCAAATTACACCCAACCCGAGACAATCCACCTGGTCTCTGGAGTTGTAGTAAACGTGAGGCTAGGCTGTTGCCGTGCAGGCTTTCACCGTAAATATAGTAACAATGGAAGCATAGCGAAGATTCCACACCAACGCCCACTGCCTCAATGCCGGCGGCTGCCAAAAGCATTCCACCATCGCCTACCTTTCTGGGCACGTCCGAAGTTCCGATTAAGAAGAATGGCGCCGCGCAAGCTCCAATTGCCGGAAGAATTTTGTCAGGCGCACGGCGCCAGGCCGAACGAAGAGTGTGAGAGAGAGGTCTGCTTCGCAGGCTTTCAATATGTTCCCCGTAAGAAGAGGAGCAACCTGGGGATGGTTTTCGTAAGAATTTGTCCCAGATTTTCCATCCGCAACCTACCCAACATGTACGAAGACTTCAAGAGAGACAGGGAAAACATGGACAAGATCAGGCAGCACAAGGTAGGATTGCATTGGCGCGTTTACTTGAGGCTTTCCACAAACATCCCGTACAGTGCATAGCTCAACATTCAGCAACTGGGAGTTCCCCAGTAGCCACAAGTTAGGCTTGCCTAAGCCGGGCTGGCGCTCGCACATTTGTCCGCCGTCCTGTCTCGTGTAGCAGTGTGACAGTGTGTCGACTCATCAAATGCGCTGCGTGGTCTGGAATCAACAGTGTGGTGTTGTCCGCAAGTGAGCATGGCAAGTGCAGCAAGTATGAACAACATTCCCAAGTGATCGGTAGCGCAACTGTGAAGCGACCAAGGGAGTGTGAGGGCGGACGTTATGAGCATGTTCTTAGTGTGCGCGCCCACACAACCAACGTGCGTTCCTCTCCTGTCTCGACACAGCCCGGCTTTGGGTCGTTTTTTGTGACATTACGGAATAAACTGCTGCCCGTGCTCTTTCTTCGCCCCAATTGGGGTATGACCAAAAGCAGGAGGCCAAGATATTTGCGGCAGTGCACGTACATTGACGGCAAGCACGCCAACCTGTCTTGTGCATACTTGCAACAACCTGTGACGCTAATTCGATACGATCATAATAGTTTTCTCAGTGCACTGAGTACCCATATCCACGCAACACTTCGTTGCTCACGGTTTTGCAAATGAAATCTGTTGGAGGATCTCTTGTCTGCAACGTGGGCATCGCACCCAAAGCTGAGTCAATCAACTGTTGCTGATGCAGTCAGAATATAGTCAAATATGAGGTGTGGCCACATCATTGTGCTTATAATCCAACCGAACCTACCCCAAACTTAAAGAAGTTGAACTGGGCGGTCTGTTGGGCGGTCTCCCAGTGGGGAAGTGGCGTTGATGACACCCACAGCAAATTACTCTCCTGACTGGCGAGTCCTACGCCAGGCTGCCCTCTCCCAACGGGTTTTCTCAGCATACAAGGGACCGTTGCATTCCAGTCCCCTCTGAACCACGCCAACGCAAAAAGTTGATTCCACTACAAATTTCGGATTAAAGAGTGATGCAAGGCTGAGGCCCAGATGCAACGTGCGTGCGGGGAGGGCCCCTCGCTCACGAGGCTCGCGCCGTTTTAGACGTCGACACGGGAGATACGCCTCGACCGCAAGTGCCACTGTGTTGCCGCGCCGGTTGTGGTTCGCCGACAAGACATTCCACCTGCCGCGCTGCCACAGACGCGGTGGATCCCCACAAACACGACAGCCCTGACCGTGGCGCAGGAGCGACCCGACTTCGAACTGCATGGCGCGCAGCGCCGCAAAAAACGCTTCATCCGCGTCGGGAGCGCCCTTTCCGTTCGCTTCGCCGGGCCGCCTCCCAAGAAGCGCCCCTTCGCGGGGACGATGCCGGCGCTCGGCCCGCCATCCCCCGGGCCCCAGAGGCCCCAAGGCACGCCCGCGGCGCGGCCGCCCAACTACACCTGCATGCGGGAGATGTTCGCGGGGCGGCAGTTGGTCAGGGCGCCGTCCGCGGCAGGAAGGGCGAGCTGCGAGGCGTTCCAGGCGTTCAAGTGGCATCGCGGCGAGGCGAACGCGGCTTGTCGCCAGATCGCGGAATGCTGCCCCGCCCCATCTCTCGGAGGATTCACCTGTGGGCCCGTTCACCGCGCGCTTCTGCCTGATACCGGGGACGCGTGCGGCGAATTCTCTCCATCGGGTCTGCAGTTTATCCAGGGGCTCGAGCCCGCTCCCGATTCCGACCGCAACTGGGCGTCCTGCCCGGGCGTCTGCAGCCCGGACGTGCCCAAGACGACGGCGCCCAAGGCGTCCCAGATCATCGCCGCGCTGATGAAGGCCGGCGGCCTGGAGCTGGGCGAGAAGCTGCAGTACAGGACCCGCCAGGGGGCGGTGCTGGCGGAGGGCTGGGCGATGTGGAGCAGCATTCTGTGCGCGCGTTGCGGCGGCGTGGTGGGCCCCACGGGCTTCGAGCGCTGCGCGGGCAGCCTGGCGCGCCGGCCCTGCAACCACATCTTCACGCCGGCCGGGCAGAGCCTGCACAGTTTGTACAGGGGACTGAGCCTGGGGCGGGGGGCGGAGGGCGGGGGCACGTCGGCGGACGAGGACGGCAGCCCGCGCGCGCACGAGGGGCTGGATGAGGATTTGGTGGAGTGAGCCTCGTCATTTGGCTCATTTGGTGATGCGTGACAAATCGCTGGGAGGTCTCGGTGGCAGGCGGTCCCTTGGCTCGCCGGGGTCGGGCGCTCGTCGTGGCGGCGGATTGGAGTGCGCTGCCGCGCTCCAGGGAGCCGCGGGCTTGGATCGTGGGCTGAGGGAGCCGGTGAGCGCGCTTGCGCCAAACAGGCTGAACGCAAGGCCGGAGGCCATTTTACGCCGGAGTCGCGTTCTTTTTGGGGACCGGTGGGCGGCTATCAGCGGATGGGAAGGGGACACACGGCCCTTTGCGAGCCATGAGCGTGGATGATTTCGGATCGCGCACCACCTGGTGCTGAAGCGAGCTTGACGCTGGCCAACTAACCGCTGGTCGTCGCCGCAGCCGCATCCAATTCCGAAGGTCATGTGCCGCCCCTGCTTGGAGCTGGTTCTTTGTACAATAGCACTTTGGAGCGGCCGTGGTCAAATGCAGTGGGTGATTGACCGATTCCAAAACATTGCCAGTGCCATCCAGTCAGAGAACCTCCTAGCGGTGCGGCAGCCGACGGGGAGAGGCAGCCTCCCAGGTCAAAAAGCTGCCGATGACTCGTGAGCTCGCTGAGCAGCCCTTTGTATTCGTGCAAAGCCGAAGTAGGCAGCTGCTCTTGAGTATCCCTGTTCAGAGATCCCCAAATGAACACCCCCCGCACGTCCTACTTGCACACACGCCTGTATTAAAGCTGGCATGTGCTGCCCACCGCTTGCCCAGAAAGTGCACGAATCGCAAGACCATTGTTTCTGGCACATCGTTCAGTGTGGCCTCATCTCAAGTATCTCCACAGTTCCACAGCCCACTCAAAAGGGCTGATGATTGTGTGCAGGGCAATGGCAGATGCGGCACAACAACAGCATGTTCCAGCCATTGCTGGCATTAGGGTGGAGGAAGATGGCAATTTGCTGATTGCAGTACTGACAGCTGGCATCATGTGTACAAAGCCCTCAAGAGCTCAATTGCAGCATGGCTTTCAGGAAATGAAAACAACTGCATCAAGTTCCCAGAATCGCCTTGTAAAGGGCACGTCAATACAATTTTTGTATATTGCTTCAACAAGAATTTCCGTTGCTACTGAAATATGTAAGCTCATGTATTTCAACACCGAGTGGCTTGTCATGCATGGTGGAGGCCCTAAAGTAGTTTTTCTGGGAAAATGGTGTTCCAGAGATAGCACGGTGCTCTGATTTTCAGGGCACATCTCAAGGCACGCTTGCAGTTTGGAGCATATGGAGGTTGGGGGGCATCGTATCCTTTCGACAACTAGAAATAGGCGATGCTGCAGTTGATACATCGATACTGCACTCCAAGCTGTTGCTGCCCAAGCCAGCTGTACACCCGGGGGCACAGGATGCAAGCCATGAGAGTTGCAGGAGCAAGGCGACAGGGGGCGGCGAAATCCATAAAGTACAGGGCTGGGACAATACATTTTCGAGGGCCGCTGGGAGGTGTGGCAGTTAAAACAATCTCTAACCGTGCTTATGTTTTCACCATATTCGCAGCAATTGGCACTCTTCACTTACCTAGTTGGTAGCTCTGAAGCACAAAGGGCAAGTGCCAAAGGCACACACACACAAAGTGGCTTCAGGATGCAAGCACCTGGCGATCTGTAACCGCCTTCGTTACCCTCAGCAACAGGTGCATCCCACCTCTCGCCCCCCCCCTGAAAGTACCAAAGAACAGGCAGTCCATATGCATCCTGTTCAGTGAGCATCACCACACAGTGGCGATGCTAAAGTGAGGAGATGCGCAAGGTGGCGTGGGCAACAACAACCTCGATAAGCAAAACAAGGAAAGCAAGCAAATACGTGCTGCAGAACAGGCAGACTATCCTAGCCTTGTGGTCAAGTCAATACTCCTTTCCATTCTCAAACAGTTGAAGGCGAAGTCCCCGAACAAGATGATGCAGCATTGATCAACAGTGCAGTGCGGTGGATGAGAACAACCACGAGTGTACTCACAATTTTGCTGGGGTGCAGAAACCATCTGACAAGAGCACTGATTTCGCAATGACATCAATAAACATGCTGCCATGTCCGATCCACGGAGAATGGAGGCCCGCAGGCTTGCATTGGTGTCTGCTGGGGCCACACGGTCGTGAACATATGGAAACCGAGCCCCTGGAAAAATCGTCCACTGCGTTGGGATGTAGCCTCTCATCTGCATCGCGCGACTCCAGAACGGCGATCTATGGTGACCGACGGCTCATTTTGAGGCGACGGTGCTCATTCGCGTCGGAGACGTGAGGGTGAGTCCCGGACAAAATTGCGGATGCTCGAACCCGATCAAGGCTTACAAAGAATGCCCAATACGGTGAATTTAATGAGCCACACGTATGCGTGCCTTGTCATGGCTGAGATGTAGCTAACCTTGAGAAGATCGCGAAGGGTCGTCCGCAGGCAACTGGGCAGGGCCACCGCGCTCAGAGAAGAGCGCCCCCCCCAGCACCCCGTCGCGCTTTCGGGTTCCCGCGACGCACCTCCAAATCGACAAGCCCCACGCACGACCGCCGATCGTCGCCAGAGCCACATGTCCACAATCATGATGTCGCTCACCTCGTGGGGAAAGGATCCAGCCTGTCGGAACAAAGCGGTCGTCGCCACCACACAGCCACCGCCCCGGCTTGCCTGCCGAATGCGACAACGTCGCAGCCCGGGCAGGAAACTCCGCGGCCCCAGGCCTTCGATCCCCGAGGATGACCGTGTTGCGGCATGCCGACAGCCCGCAAAGGCGGCGACGCGCGTTCCGGGGCGCGGGCGCCGTGCTCGCTCAAGGCGGGCTGCGAGACGACCATGGGGATTCGTCCCCTCGCGGTACGGCGACGTCTGGGCCCCAAACGCCATTGTCGGATATGCGCCCTCAAGGGTCCATGTCATCCCCCGCGACCTCTGACTCATGCCTGACGAGGTTTACAGGGTAACGTGCGCCCGGGTCGCCCCTCCAACGAGGTCGTCGCTGCGTGTTTTCCGCCCAAAGGGGGGCGGGCGCGGTGCGCGGCTGGCAGCCCGGTCGCGGTGGGAGAGAGGCGCGTCCCCAAAGGTCCGCACGGAACCAGTTCGGACGGAAGGGTCCAGCTCGGGCTTCTCCGCGGGTTGCCGGTCGGCGTTTCACAGCCGCCAACGTGGTGAACAAGTCTTTTGCATTAATGGGGCTTGGGTTGGCACGCACGCATCGAGAAATCCAGGCACCGCGTTGGAGACGCTGGGGGACTCCTTTTTGTGAAGGGGTGCAGCTGGCACTGTCCACCGGCCTGCGGCAGGACATAGTCGTGGGGATGCGTCATCGACAACCCAACATGTTACCGTGGCCACTGTACCGCTTCCCCCCAAACACACAGCCAGCCTGCTCGGGAGCGGCCACCAGTGTGCAGGTGCTGAGTTGCCGCAGAGGGTGGGGTGAGGACGGAGGCGCGTTGCCCACGCGTGGGCGACCGGACATTGGATTTCCTCTGTGTCAGTTGTGCTGATCACCGGAAACATCTCACGAGACGTGACAGGCTTGTGTTCAACGGACATTCGTTGACCAAAACGGTCGCCACGCGCTAGCTTCGCCCGTGCACTGCCACGTCCCCGCAGACAGCCCTTGAACAAAAAGGGTTCCCCCCAAGGTTGCTTGGGAGGGGAGTGGGGGTCCTCCTGTCAGGGGTCACGGGGCATTTGTCATTTCAACATTATGATGTTGACATGATGGCGATTGCCCTGATCAGATGTAGTCATTGACAGGACATCTCATAAACGTAGTTTTGCCGACAATTGCCATCATGGCCGCCATTGCAGTAGCAAATACACCGGCAGGCATATGTGGCAACCACTCTGCGATTGACTCCCGCAAAGCGGAACCCACACAAACTGAATCTGGGACTGTTGCTCCGCGACTATGGTATAATTTTGCACGGTTTATCCAGAATCAGCGTCCCAAAATTTTCTGCCGATTTACTTCAGTGCTTGGCTGCAGTCTTACCATTGAATGGCTCTTGATGCGGTCTGTGAATTCACTGCGTGCACGTTCTACCCTGCTTTCAGTTTACCATAGCCGCCTTAGATGTACATATTCACGTGGCGTTCGCCGGTCCTGATGCCGGGAACGCAATCTTCAGCTGCACTTGCGTGTTTTCGCTTCTTGCAATTTCTTGCCAGTAATACATGGTCACTTGCACAAGGAAGGCCACATTCGAAATTAGTACCACATCAGCAGTACCCACACCAGTGGCAAGTTGTCTGAACATGCGCAACCCTCAGCACATAGGCTAAAGCCATGAGACTTAAGACGGTAACAGTTTGGATGCACATGATCCTTAGAAGCTCATGAAAACTCCTCTAGGAATCGGTTGTGTAGGCACTTCCAGGGCCGAGTGGGGGGAAAGTGAAATTTGCGAAAATCTTCAGAAGCAAAGCATTCAACAACGGGCGTATTCGACAATAGTTACACGGTACACCCTGCCAATGGGGAGGCTGTGAAAGGTGATTATGTACTACGGTATGAATGCAGTGCAGATTATACGCATGTGAGACGTAAGTTGTAAATCATAATCTCAAGTATGATTCAAAAACCACACATGTTTAAAAGTACATATTGACAAAAATATTACAAGGCTCCGTTTCGTTTGTGATTCGGCGCCTCACGAAAGGACGCTGTGCGAAAGAATGTTTGATCTTCTGGCCGCCACTTCACATACGTGCATAATAATGCGACTCATTATTAATACTCAGCACAGTGCTGCGAGCTTACGTAACAAGAGACGCTGTCGGTTCGCACAGTGCAAAACTTGTGGACGGCTGTTGCGTGGAATCGCACGTGACGGCTTCCGAGACATCCTCTTGCATATGGCTGTTGAGTTACAGTCCTCGGCACATAGCAAGCCTGTCGCAAGTGCCCACGACCATTGCCAAGCATTCCGCAACACTTCTCAACAGTTCGTACTTTTAGAACTAAATTTGGTGCAAACCGCTTGATACGGTATTCAACAAGTGGTAAAGCTGCAGCCTGCAGGAGCATGTGCACGCGCTGCATGGGAGACATCAATCCGAAGAGGAACGCACATATTTATCGAGGATTAATAGGGAAGGCAAGAAGCAATTTAATGTGCTCAAAAGCCTCGGACAGTCTGCAGGAGCGCACTGAGACCTAGTTGTGTTGACGCCTTTATACCAAGATGCACTGGGCATATGTCCGCTCGATCAACAGAAAACGTCACATCCCAAATTTCGATGCAACATCAATACGGACAGACGGAACCGGCAATTCCTGGATTAGTGTCCATCTGCGCCAGGACCAAACAACGCTGCCGCCAGTGGAGCAACAGCACTATTTCCTGGATTAGTGTCCATCTGCGCCAGGACCAAACAACGCTGCCGCCAGTGGAGCAATAGCACTATTTCCTCGCTCCAGCGCAAAGTACTCCAGCTGCGGAGACCACACGCTAGAGTACTTGTTTCATACATTCTATCCTGCACAATTTTTGTTGTAGATTGAAACCGTTCCTCCATTGTCCAGGATAAGAAAGCCCAGGCGTGTCCCACATGCTGTGGATCGCCTGTACAAGTGTTGTAATGTGTATAAATTTGTTGACGATGCACAAACGTGATGTTGGCAACACAGTGGGGACTCCAACATGCATTGCGCAGATGTCCTCGTTGAGCAAAGGACACGCATTCCTGTTTCGATATTTGTAAACACCTGCATCCTGTTATCTCGTTCGGCGCGAATTGCGCAAGAATTGACTACTTTTGAGCAATTCGCAAACACAGCTAAACAGCTTAAAGCATGGAGGTGGCACACGAAAAAGGTGGCGAAACGCGCTCTGACACATATCTAAGACCCAACACTTCATTGTAGCTTTCTGTTTGGTTCTTTTACCGTCTACTGCGAGGTTGTCGATTCGAGTGGAGATGTTAGAGCATTTCAAGCGCGTGCCTGAACTTGGCATAGTTTCGTCGTCTGCACAGCGCACCTTGATCTATCAGGCGCTCTATCAACTCTGGTACAACAATGCGATATGGCCACGAAAAATGGAGCTTCACACCGGAGCACAACGCTGCACTAGGGTTGGTTCCGTGTCCACGCGCAGTTGTCAGACGTCGATAACTGTCGCCCCCCCCCCCCTCCTCCCGCTGTTGTAGGTTGTGGATTTGCGCTCACAATCTAATTTCCGGGGGCGATGAAGACATCTGGGGATCTCAAAGAGCTTCCCAAGATCAGGAAATTAAGGAAAAATTGTTTGAAAGGAGTTCTGTCACGGGATTTTGCGTGGATGGGGAAACGGATCACTCGCGCAAGTGCACTGAGCCAAGGATCCTCAGGAAGAAGTCCCCGTCAAACTTCCTGGCAAGGTTCGATGGCTCCATGTGCCTTCACTGTCATCAGTCAAGCATGCATGTGTACACATCAATTATGGAGACTGATACTCTCAGAGCACTAATACATCCATAAACGACTAATGGGGCAGATGGTCATATCCACGCACTTCCGGCACTGTGTCTACTTAGACACTTATAATCCAGTGAGGGGAGGTGAGAAGAAAGAATGATGGGCCTTAGAAGCAAATTGGATACGGTCAAGTTCTACAAAGTACTGAGTCCTGCGCTTGTTACTGGCGCCCACTACTCTGATTGGATGCCAGGAAATTTTTGCTGCAGCGAGGGCCAATGGGATGCTCCCAATGCACTCCATCAGAGCAACGACAGACCGCGAATTGCAACCCGTCGGCTGCCCAGTCACACAAGGCGGCCAATGCCACTGTGCGCGCGTAATGAGCCCCAAGTCACGGTCGGGGCCCAGGCTGGCCCGACTGGGACCTGCCAGGCCTGACTGGCCTTTGACATGCGCTTAAGGATTCTGGGCCTAAGGCCAGCCAGGGCCCTGACTGTGACTGACGTTCCTGGCGCGCACGCACTCCTAACGCTGAGCCGCCCCGCCGTACGATGTACCGCACAGTACACGCAGTACGGCGGCCGGTGCGCCAGGGACAGCAATGCGGTTCCCGTCGGCTGTTGCTGTGCCCGTCTCGCCGTAACGCGATCTGATCACCGATCCTCAGTCCTGCGATTACGCTCCTGTTACCCGCGACTTTTGCCAGTCGCCGCACGCACGGCACCATTTGCAGGCCGGGCTGCATAAGGGGGGAGGGGGCATGGGGCCGCGCGACTGAGCGGCCGACGCCCCCGGGAGCTGCGAACGGGATCCTGAGCCAGTGAGATGCTGTTGGGGTTTTCTCGCCCGCCGGTGGCGCCGGGTCCCGGGCGCGGCACGGGCGCGGCCTTGGACTCGGCGAGCGTGCCGGGGCGCGCGTGGGCGCGCGGTAGCCGGGGCGCGAGAGGGTGGGGCGATCGCCTGCGTGCGTGTGGTGCTTGCGCAGGCGCAACTGCAGAGGATGGCCTGTGCGGCGTTCAGCCGGGGAATTCCGGTCGGGCCCTCGCTCATTTTGGACGCTACGGGCAGTGGTATCCATCCGAGTTTCGCCTGAATATTTGTCCACAGAGCACGGTCGCTCGCCTGTTGGGATGTTGCTGGCGGCGGGATCCCTTCGGCTGCTGGCTGGCTGTTAGTTTTCGCCGCATCGTTCGTCGCCTTCTCAATTAGGTACACGCGTTGACTGGTCGAAAGAATCGGCTCAACGTTGCCCTTTCTCCAACTAGCTTTTGATCTGCCGCCGCAGCGCCGCAGTTCTGCTCTTTTTTGGACCGCTGGGGCGCCTCATACTCTCCTGGCTTGTCTGCATGTTGACAGGCATCCTTTGAAGGTTATCCGGAGGCGGGTAGCTGCGATGGCTGCCGACGACGCAGGAACCGAGAGCCACGGGCAGCTGGCCGATCGCTTCAATGCGTATTTCACTGGCGCGCTGACCATGAATCTCGTATACGTGCGTAGGACAGTGGACGACTACCCTGTTGTCTCATTCAGTCGGTTGATCAAGCGAACCACAATATACAAAAATGGTGATCGTGAATCAGTCAAATTCCCATGGGCTCGCCGTTTGTCCCCGTTGCTCGCACCGTGCTGCTTGTGCACCGCTCACTCATCTTCTGTATACTGCGAACGAAACAGTTTGTTGTTTCAATAGTTGCATCCTGCATGTAATGTAAATCCTGCATGTAACGATTGATCCATTCAGATTGTGTGCAGCAAATTTTCAACCAACGTTCTGGCTTGTGAGGTTGGCTGGTGGCTTGTGTGCACATTGCACTGTTCGAGTCCTCGCTAACAGAATTGGCCACGGTTTGAACCAGCATTGCACCTTCAGTGTCAAAACGATCTGGGGCAGTACATCCCAGTTGGGATATCTTGCACAAACATCAGTAAATAGATTGGTTCAATAATTGGGCTCCTCATTACAATTTCCTCCACACCTCTTGGGCAAACAAATGCACTGAGAACAAAAGAATGTGAAAAACAATGTGAGGAATGGAAAGCGAGCAAATTGTTATATAATGAACACAAAGCCAAATGTTTTGATCGTTGTGATCCAACTTCGCATTTTGCAGATCGGTGACCAGCTGGGTCTGTACGGTGCCCTTAAAAAGCTGGGGAAAGCGACAAGTGCTGACCTGGCTGAGTCCTGCTTGCTCGGTGAAAGGTGAGGAGCCATGAGCCAGGGCTGTCCATTGCTTCTGGAAAAATGCAGGGAATGCAATGTGATAAAACAAAACTCCATTTGTTCATTTTGGATGCTTATTTTAGTTCGCTGTTCTGAGTAAGATCTGGTGAATGCTGAAGATCGGATCTATTGTGTTGTTCTGTGCTATTGTACTTGACATCGCAACACCCGGTGCAATGTTGATGTTATGCCAGACACTGTTCTGCTTGTCCACATGGACTTCAAGCTGCCCTTGCATAGTTTATTTCTGTAGGCTCGTCCTGGGAAAAAGACAGAACGTGATAATGGGCAACCAAATTACAACCCCGTGCTGTCCTCTTTTGCATGAGCCTGCCTGCAACATCCTCTGTCACCCCAGTCTCCTGTTCAATCTTGCATCGAGCTGAAGGACATCACCACAAGCTGCCAAGATATTCTTTTTCTCTGTGCAAACCCAACACAGCTGTTGGCGGCGCTATGTGCCCTTCAGATGTTCGATTTAGAGTAAATGGCTTTTTGCAACATGCAACGATTTCTACCACTGAAAAGAGTTGAAAGGCATATGCAAATATGAGCAGGTGGGTAAGGGAGTGGCTGTACCAGCAGGCATCAGCCAAGCTCCTTGAGACTGACGCTGAGGCCAAGTTGTTCTGGATGACAGAAGCGCAACAGGACGTTCTGGCCAATGAGGACGGCCATGATGGGTCACCCCATTTCCTGGGTGGCGTGGCACAGCAGGTCGTCTCCATAAGCCCCGCCTTGCCCAAGATTATGGAGGCCTTCAGGACTGGCATGGGCCTCAAGTATGATGACTATGGACCCGGGCTGGCTGTGGGCGTGCGCAGGGAGCTCAACGTGTGGGTGCGGCACTCCATGCTGGCCACCTTCTGCAAGATCCCGGGCCTCAAGGATTCTTTGGAAGTTGGGGTGATGGTGGCAGACATAGGCTGCGGCTGTGGCGAGGGCCTCCTGACATTGGCTCAGGCCTTCCCCAAGAGCACCTTTCATGGATACGACACCTCAGCCCACGCATTGGCGGAAGCCAAACAGAGGCTGCAAGAGATGGGCGTCACCAATGCTGTGTTCATCAATCCGGACGAGGCCCCCCTGCCAAACGAGGGACGGTATGACTTCATGTACACGGTCGATGCCGTCCACGACATGGCGCATCCTGACCAGGTCCTGAGAGGCATTCGAGGGTGCCTGAGGGAGGGTGCACGTTACCTCATATGCGACGTGAACAGCAGGGACAGCCCGGCTGAAAACATCAAGGAGATGCCCGGTGTGGCGGCGGCCGCATATGGCATATCGACGCATGTGTGCTTGTCAAGTGGCCTCTCTGAGGAGGGCGGCATGGGCCTTGGGACCATGGGTTTGACGGAGGTGGGGCCCTTCTTCGTGCTGTGCATGGTTCTTTTCAAATGCAATGTTCTGAATTTGCATCATATTATGTTCAACATAAGTACAGCTGAGCGCAGAATTAGCTGTGTGTACTTGAAGCGTATTGAAAATTGCTTTATGCATGGTATATGCTGTACCCTGTAGTCATAGACTGCATGCATTGGAAATTGCTTGAAGCGAACGTGAGAAAACACCTGGTGTGCCATTGTCCAAAGTGTTGCCTCCCCCGCCCTACCCCCACCCGTTTTCTCTGGAGCGATCAAGACCTTTGTGTGTGCACGTGCTTGCACAGCCAGTCGTTCGCCGCCTAGCATTCGACGCGGGCTTCGGCAAGTTCCAGAAGTTGCACGACTTTGGACGACCAGATATGAACTATTTTCTGCTGGAGGCCTGACCCTGGCACAACCTCCTCGAATGAGCCCGGCCGTCCTGCCAGAGCAGTGGAAATGCGGATTTCGCCCTTTTAGTATTATGGCCATCGGTGGTGAAGAATGAAGGTCTCCGCGCGTCAATGTGTTGGAGGCGCAGATGCGCACGCCCAAGGGTTTCAGTGAGGGCATTGGCCAGAGGAAGCGGGCTGTTCACCTGGACAACTGAGCACTCGGCCCCAATAGGACCTGCGCCAGAGCGCTTTGGAGGTCTGATGTTTTCGAGGTGCTGCAGACTCTGCGCGTTGGCGATATTGTGCCACAAGAGTTCCGAGTCGATCGGGACTTGGATCATGGGGATGACAATGAAGTTTTGCTTGTGCGTGTGGACGACTACACTCAGGGTCGCATTCAGCAAGAGCAGGTTTGCAGATGACACAGCCTGTCGTTTGCTGTCTTGAAAGGGGTATAAGGGTGAGGACAGCTCGTCAATTGAGCGGTTCCTTCATTGCGTCCAAGCATAGAGATTGTACTAACGCAATCCAATTTAAACGATTTCACAGCAAGCAGTCATTTAATGACACTGTCATACGGCATTATAGGTCTGGGTAATACCTGTTATTCAACAGATCAGGATGTCGCATTGATCCATCGCTGATGGAATCATGTTGCAGTTAATGCAATTGCTGGAGTGCTGTCGTTGATAATTCGGATAAGATCCAGATAAGCTTGGCTGCCTTTCCACCAGTGCTCCATTGGCAAAAGCGGGCTTTGAGGCAGCAATTACTCCCCTGTCCGTGCTCTTCAACACGACCAGACATCGGCAACCTCTTCGCCTTTGAGTTTGTCGCTGCTTATTTCTGGTTTTCCGTTACTCAACAGATGCCATTCTGGGTTTGGTCCGTGCTATGCACATCCGTACATCACCCTGCGCCAGAGTCCGATTGGCGAGTGAATGTACTGGCCTGGACGCGATAGTGTCAGTCAATCATCCCAACCATTCAACAGATGCGCATGCAGATAATGGGGCGAAACAACCTCTAAGTGCATTGCACGGCAGCGCAACAGCAGAAAAGAATGGGAACTGGCGGACATCTCCTTACCCTTGACGTTTGTGGAGTCAGTGGGGCAACACGTGCAGCTTGGGAATGTCGGCGTAAGCGCGCTCGTCTTTCGACATTCCCTTCCCTTGTCGGACAAGGGATGTCCCTTCCCTTGTCGGACAAGGGATGTCGCGGATCCGCGACCTCGCGCGACCCGATCAGACGCCACAAAGCACTGCCATGCTCGAGCAATGCCCAGCGATGCGAAATTCAACAGGGAATGCCCCCCGCACCGCCGGTGGCCCAGTCGCCCTGCAAACTGCCGGGCCGGCATCTTCCCTGTGTCTGACCAGTCATCCTCGTCAACGTGCCGCAACCTCCGCCGGGGGCCGTTCAAGTTCCCTGAATCGAGTATTCTGAGATCCGAGCAAGCAAAAGAGAGAGCAGGCGGCGAATCTACGGCAAGGAGCGGTCGGGAGTAAGAATGAGCTGGTCAGCCATGCTCGCAGCGGATGCCCGTTGGACAGAAAAGTCACTCTCGACGCTTCAGCCCTCTCATTAAGCAGGACCTCTGTTGGAATTATTTGACTGCCATCGACATATCGCAACACTATTCGCTGGATGGCCCCTTGTGCGGCCCTTTCATGAAGAGGAGCCGCCGCTCCGTGCTACTTAGCCTGCTGATGCGCCGAGTGCATGTATTGCACAGGCAGTATTAATGGCGGTCTTCTGTGCGAGACGCTTGAGCCTCCGATATGGCTTCGTTACATTTTTCAGAAAACGTTGACGCCTGCAATGAACTCCGGGTACCCAGAGGATTCCAGGGTGTCCAGGGGATTGAGCATTTACGTGTCTGTCAGCTCGCCTTCTTGAAGTATTCATTTGAGATGCGCATTATAAATTGTTGAGGCAAATTGCCATTGCCGACAACTTGCTGTTCCTGACGGAGATTTTGTCGGCGCAGGGCGGCCGTGCTGCGATTCGCTGGCGTGTGGCCTTGCATTTATTGAGCTCGTTAGCCTGGAAACCAAGCGTTGAGCCATGTCACAAATGAGGTGCGGGACGTGAAATGATCTATCGAAAGATTTAATCTTTCGATACAATGTAAAACTAATTTAGTTCAATTCAACTCAACAGATGCTGACATACTGCAGCCAGTAGTGCTCGTGCCGATAGTCTGCTATGCGCACAACGCCTGCGTTGAGCGAAAGGCCGCTGCAGTGATGCCTCTGCCAGACCCAGCCAAATCCTCCCTGGATCTCAGTGGGCAGCTTCGTAGTAACTGCCCAGGAAAAAATTGACTGCATGCCAAGTTTTGCACAAGATGTGGTGTTCAGTACTGTGATACCGCATCACCAAAATGTGTTGAAAAATGTGTTAGATAGCGTTGGGCAATATCTGTCAGCCCCTGCCCAGGTGAGTGAAGAGCTTGAGATGCGGTCGAACTACATTTTCTCTCCCTCACATCTGAGCACTGACCAGACCCTGTCTGGTTTTCCATTTCAGCAAGGCTACGTCTCAGCGCAAGCTCACCTTCAGTTCCCCTCCGCACGTCCCATGTGTAAGTTCCCTGCTGGCCATGCCACTTGCTGGTGCTTTTGAATGGCGATGATGTCTTTTCAGCAGCACACTTCTTTCCTTTGTGTCTCAACAACGGCCAGGCCAATTATGCTGCAGTTAGCTCTTTTGATTTTGGTGCTTGGGGATTTGCGTCCGTTCCCTCAATGCACTGGTTCAAGTCGAGGATGTTTAACAAGGGATGGCCACCGATTTTTATGTTAGGAGAAAGGTGGATGGAGAGCATCATGCATTGTGATTGTTCCAGGTGTGAGCATGCACCTTTAATTGTATGATCTAATTGCTACTTCGTGTTACGTTGCTTCCACCTGCCGCGCTCTAATATTAGTGAACGCCACGTGGGAGCAACACAAGGCGAAGATCGTCCGTACGGTTGCCTGAAATTAGGATGGTGTCCGCAGACTTGGAAAAAAAAGCCAAAATGCCTTTTGAAACCAGGGATCGGCTGCGATTGAATTTGGACAACAATATGAATTCTGGAGCCTGGTACAGAAACTTCCTTCCCAATTCATCGAAAGGATTGGGGCACACTAAATATTCCGACTAGATTGAAGACGCAATATCCGCCCCAAAAATGGACTAATGGCAAAATGCAAATACCAGAAACAGAATATGTACCGCCAACCAATAGAACACCTGGCGCGTGCTCGCGCCTACACATTTCTGCATGGTCAAATGCTCGTTATCAGCGAGTTAGCTTCGTATAGGATATATCAGGCCTCATTCAGTTGCTGTCGTGGAGATGCCCAATGCAAATCAATGCACCCAATGAAGTGGCGTCACAGCAGTGCCTTCAAATGCTGCAAATTTTAAATAACAGCGTTGCGTCCTCCCAGTTGGAGCCGAATAGCTGCTCATATGATTTCCCGCTTTGATGACAGCGTGACATTATCATCCCAGATATGGGATACTGCAGCAGTCTCACACGCCACAGCCACGGTTGCCGCCTATCGGTGATCCTGTGTACAGACACCATCGTGCCCTGCATAAAATATGATCCCCCGATCTTGGACCTGCCACCCTTGGCACATGGCGCAACGGGCGCACTGCGAATACAACCTCGGGAAAAGGAAATAAAGTTGTGGCTGTTTATATTGTTCTTCAATTAAGAGTGACGCATACAGAACTTGTGTATGGCATACACAAGTGCAAGTGTCTGATTAGCGCTGCAGAGGCATGTACATATGTATCAGGTGGACGCCAGCGCCAAGCCAGCTAATCTGTGCAGGTGCGTACCGCAGGCCAAGCGCCACGCTCGGACGGATTTTTCCCACAGCGACAATAGGCTCATGGAGATTGGAAGAGAGAACGCGGTGCTCGTGAAGAAGTTGAAAGAAATCACGTGCGGCCACGGCCACAAGCTGTTGATCCCACAGACGGACCGCGTGGCTGAAGTGAAGCCACCGCCAGTTGTGACCGCGGCAGCAAAGGTGAATCGCAGGAAAGCAGAGACGCGTATAGCGCAGGAGAACATGATGATGTACAGGCGCTTGCAGGTGCGTTGGAGGCGTATCGCAGGCGGGCACCAGATCAAAAGCCAACCTCCCTGCAACCTAACCTTGTTAAATGACTTGGGCAATGTTACCACAAGATTTCTCGTTGAACGTTGAATGGCCTCCGGCTGAAATTTGCTTGCCGCGTTTGTCAAGCCGTGGCGAGGTATTGTCATTGCACCCTGGAGACGGCGGCGGATGACTGGTTTTGGTTCGTCCAATTCGACTGGGACATGTCAAAGTGAGAGAGTCTGGGCTCAGACAAAAATCTGGTTGTTGCTGCTTCCGGTCGCTTGTCTGGGCTGTATCTATGCAGGGAATTAGTGGCGATGAATGGGCAGATACTCCTAGGAACAGTGGACGCAAGCAGGGTGCTTTGTCCATCGCAAGTTCATGTTAGCCTGGTTTTGACAGCGAGGTTTCTCCGATACATATCATTTTCGAATATGAAGATCAAAAAGGGGCCATGGAGGTCACGCAGAAATCATGAATGTTCATCGAGGGCCTGAAGACCTAAAACCTTGAAAACCTCAAATACAACAAACGGTTTGTTGGTTGCCGAAATGTCCTTAATACTTGGAAATGCAGGACATCGGAATTTGTGTTGACAACAGGATGCCGCAGACATCAAATCACAGTGATGGCATGGCAGTTCTCATTTTAGGTGGTAGCTCAACCTGCAACCCTTTAAGCTGGGGCTAATGACGCGCCTATGCCAGTGACAACACACCGTCGCACATTCGGCATGGTCGTATCAAGCTGGTGGCGAAAATGGAGGCGCGTGATATGCTGTTTCGGCGCCAATGTTCACACACGGTGAAGGAGGCCACTGAGGTGTCGCCCTTGCGTTGCTTCAGAGCATCAGGCCGTCCAAAGAAATAAGGCGGGACGTCTTGGAAAGGAGGCATAGAA